TTTGATTTGTATTTCCCTGATGATGAGTGGTGTTGAGCATCTTTCTGTGTGTCTATTGGCCACCTGGATGTCTTCTTTAGAAAAGTGTCTCTTCATGTCTTCTGCCCAATTCTTCACTGGATTATTTGTTCTTTGGGTTTTGGGCTTGATAAGTTCTTAATAGATTTTGGATCCTAACCCTTTATCTGATATATCATTTGCAAATATCTTCTCTCATTCTACAGGCTGCCTTTTAGTTTTGTTGACTGTTAACTTTGCTGTGCAGACTTTTGTCTCGATGAAGTCTAAGTAGTTCATTTTTGCTTCTCTTTTGATTAACAGTAACTGTGTTTATGTGCCTTTTAAGTTGTTCTCCTCCTTTAGGGAAGTAGGTGGGGTACATGTGTTTGTGTCTGTGTATCTTATAATATATATGTGCATGTACTTATATAGTAAGTCAGCGCTCATAATATCGGTAGTCAACAGGCAGCTGAAAGTGCATTCCTTCAGCAGAAGTGTATTGAGTGCCTGCTAAGGGCCAGAGACTCTGCCGGGTCCTGGAGACATAAGGATGAATGAGACTTACTCCTTACATGAGACTTACTCCTTACAAAGACTAGCGGGAAGAATAGAAGTCATAGAAGTGATACTAATGAGCTCCCGCACATCACGCCTCTTGTGGATCAGACACCAGCAGGCACTTTAATGGTCTCAACCACCCTCGAGGCAAGATGTATGTTTCCCTGTCACAGATTAGTATCCAGGGAGGCCCTGTCCTTTGCTGCCGGGCTCACAGCTGCCACACAGCAGAATGGGAATGTTATCATGTCTGTTCTTTCCAGAGCACCATATTTTTGCAGTAATTGGTGCCAGTTCTTCAGAACAGCTAAGCATCTCTTATGCTCTGTGGTGAGATTCAAAAAGCTGCTCACGTAATGTGCTTGCTGAAGAGGAGCTGGACAGGGCAGTAGCAGGCCCTCGGGAGGTGGTGTGGCTTCTAGGGAGTTGATGCTGTGCAGCTCTGTGAGCTGTCTTCTGGGCCAGGTGCATCCTCTTAGACCCCCATCCTCCCCTCAGTGCCCGGAGGTGAGGCTGAACATTATCTCCAACCTGGACTGCGTGAACGAGGTCATTGGCATCCGACAGCTGTCCCAGTCCCTGCTGCCCGCCATCGTGGAGCTGGCCGAAGATGCCAAGTGGCGGGTGCGGCTGGCCATCATCGAGTATATGCCCCTGCTAGCCGGACAGCTGGTGAGTGAGGCGGCCTGGAGTCAGGCCTTGTTGTGTTCAGCGTGTCCAGGGCTCTCACAGTGTCACCAAGGCCCCCCGAGGGCTGTCTGGGGAGTAGGAGGAAGGGGCATGGGAAATGGGGCTGTAAAGGTGAAGAGACTTCTAACGGAAGTCTGAGAACCCAGAGAAGGGAAGGGAGTCCCCCAGGGGAAGCTGAGGAGTATCTGATGTGTTTGGGTGGGTGTGTTTCCCTGTGTATCGCTGGAAACTCCCCAGTCTCCTTTGATTCCTTCTCTTTTTTTCTCCTGCAGGGGGTAGAGTTTTTTGATGAGAAGCTCAACTCCTTGTGCATGGCATGGCTTGTGGATCATGGTGAGTCCCTCCGGCAGGTGGGGGAGGATGTTGGTGCTCCAGGAAGGATGGAATCGGCATTGACTAGGGCTTGCAGGGGTGTGGAGTCACTGCCTCAGGCCATCTGCCGCTTATGTGGACCAGCTCCCTTTTTAGAATCCTGGATAAGGGCAGGGTGGGAAGGGAAACAGAGCAGATCACCCAGGGGCGGCCTGGCCCGGTACAGTGTAGAGAGTGCCAGGGCGGCTGGGCAGGTGACTCGGGCTGGAATCCTGCCCCTGGCTGTGGAAACTCGAGCACACTCCTCTGTGAAACGGGTGAGAACTGCTCATTGTTTTCACTGAGGTAAAAGTGTTTGTTTGTTTCACTGCCATTCCAAGTATTAGTTACTAAATAATTTGCTTAGGCATATCAGTTTACCCATCTGTAAAAAGGTCAGTAGTGGAAGCTGTGTCTTGGAGCTGTTGGGAAGATACTGC